CTGCCGCCGAGCGCGGCGCCCCGGAAGCGCATGGCGCTATGACCCGGAAGTCGCCACCGCCGCGCCCCGGAAGCGATTCTTCGGCTCGGGTCACGTGGCGGGGGCGGAGGCCCAGCCCCGGGAGGCAGCGGCGGCGCCTGGGGTAGGTGCGGGCCGCGGGGGTGGGGGGAGCCCTTCCTGTCAGCGCTGGCGGGAAGCAGCGTCTCGCTCGGCGTTTCTCCCCTCGGCCTATGGGAGCCGGTCGTCAGCGTCGCCTGTGGGGCAACGAGCCGCCGCCCGCCTGCCTGCCTACGGCGGGGAGCCGCGGGGGTGCCGTTCTCCAAAGGAGCATCCGTTTTTAAAGTGTATCGCCCACCCGCCTGTCCCGCCTCACCGCGGGGCTCGGAGGAGAGGTGCGGTGTCTCTTACTAGAAAAAAAACAACTCAATAATTCTTTCGTGGCAAGTTTTCGGGCACGAATGCCCTTCCCTGGGTTGCGTCTGGTGTCCGGGTGGTAGCTGCGTCGGTCTAGAGGAAACCTTGGGACAGGTGATCTCTTTTATTAGACCAGCAAGACTTCTGCAAAACAGTGTCTTTAATGGCAAGCTTTTGGGTATCAGAGGAAAGATTGTAACAGTCCCCCCCCACCCCCGGGTTCATATTTTGTAGGATTTTGCGGAGGAGTCGATAGATGGGAAACTGGTCCAGGCAGGCGGCTCGTAGCTGGTGAGGGGTCTCAGCTCTCCTGTGAGGCTCTGTGATGATGCAAATTACCTTGAAATTTCAATTGCGAATGTAGGAGCAAGATCTCGGGTGGTCACAGTTGCTTCCTGCTTAGGAAATTATGAAGATTTCATTAAAAAAATCAGCTAAAATTGGATATCTTCCACGTGTCCGGGTGGTAGCCGCATGGGTCTAGACACGTGTCCGGGTGGTAGCCGCATGGGTCTAGACATGTCTGGTGTCCGGGTAGTAGCTGTATTTGTCTAGAGGAAAAGGCAGTCGGGGGTCTTGGGAGAGGTGATTGTTAGACCAACAAGACTTTTGCAAAACAGTGTCTTTAATGGCAAGCTTTCAGGCACAAACACCCATCTTCAGGCATCAGAGAAAAGACTGTAAAAGTTCTCCTGGGTTGAAATGACAGTTCATATTTCATAGGATTTCACGGAGGAGACAATAGGTGGGAAAACCCTAATGCAGTGGTTCCCAACCCTTTTTTGCTGCGACTTGCTGCTGGGAGCGGAGCACGGTGGCAGCAGCTCGTTCTTTGTGGGCAGTGCTGCTGGCATTGCCCCCACAACCCTCATTTGGGTCACGACCCGAGGTTGGGAACTGCTGGTCTAATAAAAGATATCGCCTCTACCACGAGCCATGGTTGCCCTTTTTCTCTAGACCAGTACAGCTACAACTTGGACACCTGATGTATATTCTCGCAACCTGATTTTGGGCTATGACCCACGGGTTAAGAAACGCTGCTCCAGCTCCTGCAATGTCGGTCTGGGTGTGTGGGTAGAGGCTGTTCCCAGTGAACTCGTATCAGTGACATTCTCGTGATGGGAGAGTCGAGGCAGTGTCAGCATTTCTTTTCAAATCTGCTGTTTCCAAGACTTTCTGCTTGTCTCCGGGGTGGGAGAAATAGCTTTGTGGAGGATCCTGGCATCAGGGCCTTGTCCTTGGAGCACATTAAAAAGAAAATCCTTTTGGTATCTGCTGTACTGATTGTCCTGTTCAGGCCTAAGTTAGGATTCTGTTAGCTTGAACTCTTGCTTGTTGTCTGATACCTGACTTGTTTCTAGTGGACAATTCGGCTAACTCTGTGATCTTCGCTTCCCATCCATCTTGCTTCCTTGATAATCACAGGTGGGCCCTTGAGGCAGCTTTATTTTGAAATAAATCTGGATTTGGTTAGATTCGGTCCTTCCTCAGAGTCAGTGGGAAGCAATGCCATCCTATAGCTCTTGTGCTCCTTTGGATAATGGTTTTAAAATGAACTAAAATCTTAGCAACAGCCTTAGCTTTTGTTTGCATGCTCAGTATCGTACCCGCTTTCTGGCTCAGACCAGTGCTTTCATGAGCATAGAAACTTTCTATCAGAGCCATGGGGAAGGGAAGAAATTAACTGCTTTCTAAAGGTGTGGCTAGGAGAGAGCCCTGTCATTAGATGTTTTTGCAGGTCTATGTTCTGTGGGGAAAATAGACTGATAGTGACTTTTGGTCTGTTATATTTTGCATTTCAAAGTCTTGATAATACACTGACTTCCTGAGTGTCAGGGAAAAGTTGAACCGTGAGCTACTTTTCGGTGGCTGACATTTTTGCCGCTTAGTTTCCTGTGTTAAGCTGCTCAGACCAACTCTAAAGCACCCATTGCAGTTGCCTTTAACTACTACATTGTTTTTAAATGTTACCTGTTTATTTTTAAGGTTGCTTGCTTATTGAATCATATATGTTTGTGTGATCTCAGGGTGACAAAGTTTAGAAAATTATACAACCAGGAGATACAAAAGTCAACAGCAAGGAAAGTTGTTGTGAAGCTGGCAAGTTTGTTTTTTTTGAGACTACTGTCAAACGGTCATAAGAATATCCCATCCCCGATACGGATTCTGCAGACACACTCAAGTAGGGATGATCACGAAAAATAAGAATCAGTAGGATTGTGCATGTGTAAATCAATATTGAGGATTTCACTTAAGATTTTACACTTCTTGGCTCTTCGTTCTTTTTACTGTGTAACGTTATTTAATGTTGCATTTTTGTTTTGCATTAGAGCTTCTGAGTTATTTCCTTAATCAGAAAAGAGGGCTATAGCATTATGTTGCATGCAGAGCTCTTTCTCTCTCCTGCTTCAGGCTGCTTTTTAAACGATGAGTTCCTTTCTGCTTTACTTCATTTACATGCATTGTGTAATTGCTCTATCTTTTTTTCTTCCCTTCATTTTTACTAAAAAAAAAAATATGTTGGCAGTTTTTAAGAAACTGGCAGTGCAACAGTGTGTGTGGGGGGTGGAATCCATAAAGGAAAACAAACCTTAACATATATCATTGGGGAAAGATATGGGTGGAGGATAATATTGCATTCCCTGTTCTCTGTGCCTTTTTAGTCTCTTCATCACCCCCTCCTCCCCCAGAGATATCCTAGACATTAAATTAAAGGAAATCTGTTAATGCTAATGTTAGCTTCATATGTTGGTGCTGTCTGTTCCTATCCTGTGCAACCGCCCCCTTAATTCTCTGTTCATGATGCTATGTTTGCTTCCTGGTGGTCTTTAACAGTCAGGATCATAGCAGAGACTTACTTACTTTTCTTCTTTTGCTCTGGCATTATCTGTGTATGGCTATTGGATGTTCTGAATTCAGAAAAGCAAGGGCCTGGAAGCGAGGAGGAGCCAGCTTTCTGTATCTGTTTCTCTAGTGGATTGGTTCAGTCATTGAAGATCTGGCATGCTGTCATCTTAGAGTGGCATTTCAAGCTCCAATGACCTGAGAATACATTACTGTACTTGCCAGTAATTGGAGGTTAAAGTGGAAGATCTTGTTTTATTGCCTCAATTAAATGGTTTTACATCGACCTTAGGCACAGTCACAAGAAAAACTATGTTCACAAATGCCAGTTCAGGGTGTAGCTATTCACGGGCACTGAAAAAAGAAGGAAATAAATGTTGTATGAGGGCATTGCAATAGTATTGGACTCTAATAGGTGTGTTTTCTATTTGCTTTGAGATTGTGTCGTTCTCTCCCACTAATCTAGTTTTTGTTGGCACAGTAGTATAGAGGGAGGGGGAAGGTCCGGTACGACTGCTGCGTAATGACTAAAAAGCAGAAGTAGAAAGTTTTCAGACGCTTGTTTTGAGCCTTGATTTTGCACATCATTTGCAGTGTGGTGTGATGCAAAGGGTGAAGAAAAGTCACATTTTTCAAAATAAAATTTGCGACATCCAGATCATCAAGGTGGAGTCCATCGGGGAGGTGTCCAAGGTCAGCCAAGGACACTGCTCCTTTTGTTGACCAGGCTGAAAGTTTTTTTTTTTTTTCCTGTTGCCTTTCTGTTTTGAATTTTGGAAGCAGGTGTAGCCACCAAAGGAGAAGCAGTCAATGAAGGATCCTTCAATAAGTTGTGTTTTCCAGACAGTCTGCCTCCTAGTGTGGAATTCCTCACCCAAATACTCAGATTTTTGGGGTGCATGTTCCAGTATCTCAGGAGTTTTCTGTTCCATTTTCTAAAACTTCCTTTTTTGTTGTTGAAATTTAATCTCAGAGCAGTGCTACTTAAGGTTTGACTTGAAGGTTGGAGTGTGAGAGCTCTGAGTTGTGATGAGAAACATAAAGCTTCAATCTGTGTTTGGTTGGGGGCTTTCTGTTCCAGATCTTTCATCCAGAAGAATAGAAACTTTAAGGTTTTTAGGTTGCCAAACCTCTTAGCTTTGGAGCATTGTCACTATGGCAGCTTTTCCTTGCTTTCTGATTCTGGGAGATTCCTGGTACCAGCAACTTCTTCTGTAAATCGTGGAGACAAATTTAGACTGGCATCTGTTTCAGTAAGCTCATAGATTTTCTGTTGTTACTCTGCAATCATGAGTCGTCTGGTTATGGTAAAATGCCTGCAAGGTCCTCTGCAGGAAACTCGGCCTAAATGAATGCTTGGAGGCAGTGAAGAAGACACAAGACAAAGTGGAAATTTACATCTATTGACACATGATGTTGCTTCAGCAGAACAGACCAAAGGGTGGGGAGGGAGTACATCCTGGCAATTACTCTACCATTGCTGCTTTCTCATCATGGCATTTATAGTTCAAGAACAAGACTCTCATACTAGTTCCTACCTGATTAAATCTTTGAGGAAATTCTTTGATCCAAAAATCTGGTAACTTTTATGAGATTTTTATGAGAAGACCTGGGATGTTTGCACCTCTGGTTTATTTGTGAGAGGTCAACAGCATGTTGTTGATGTTCTGCAGGGAAGACTCGAGCTGGCTCTGATTTTATCGCCCCTGTGCACAGTCATGCTCTCAAGCGCTTGTTCCCCCTTGATGTCAACTTGTGGAGTAAGACATTGCTCAATGTAAGAGTGGCAAAATAAAACTCTTGGTGTTCTCTTGCTGTTGCAATTTGTTTTTATTGCTACACTTCTGTACAGGGTATGTTGAGACCAATCCTATGCATTCCCGAATTATTGTGTGCCTGAGGTCTTTCTACATCACACAAAAATAAGGAATTGAAAATGTGTGAAACTGTACCATGTTTTATCTTTTAAAACCAAATGTAATGCTGTTGAAAAGTGCCAGATTGACAAGCTTTGGAAATAGCTGAAATGCAACACTTCAAGCCAGACGCACTATACCAAAATAAATTGCTCCTTGTCTAGATGATCTTAACAGCTGCTAATAATCAAATCCTCATACAGTACTGCAGATAGGTGTGTACACTTTGAATGAAAACATTAATGCTTTCATTTGTGTTTTGGTGTAAGGGAGTTTAGTTGAACTGCAAATCTTTTTGGTGATGCAGTTAAGTGCTGAAAGTCAGAGCTGGTAACAAAGCTTCTGGTGTAGTTGGCTTTAGTTAATTTAAGTGAGCAACAAATACCATAAGTGGTGCATTCGTGAATGCTGAACTTCAAAACTAGCAGCAATTTTTTAAATGTAACTTTCTAATAAACTGTTTAAAAATATTTTTAAAGTAAAATCATAGTAATTAAACTAGGAAAAATAAAACTACCTCCTGCCTGTAAGCAGAGAGAGGTAGTTAGCCATGTTAGTCTGAAGTCAGGCAGGGTCAGGATACACCTTTATACGCCAACTGAATTGGAGGATCTCTGATTCACTTAGTCTGTAAGCTCCATCTCTACACTGTCTCCTGCCCATAAGACATTCCTGACTAATACCAGACCTATGACACAGCACGTGAAACTTTGAGAAGTGCCTCATTTTCACTGAGTGTCTGGGACTCTTAAAGATGCACTTAAGCTCCATAATAATCTGGGTGCTTGTGAATATGTTGCTCAATAACGAGGGAGAGAGTGTGTTCATCTTTATGGATGTGTTGCCTAGCTTGTACCAACAGAACAGATTCTCCTGTTAAAGTGAGACTTCTGATCCCTTCATCCCCATTACTCCTTGTTTGTTAGTCAAAGTCTCTTGCTGTGTCTTGTAGCTGGCTTTTCTGTGTGGTTAGGCTGTTTCCTGCTGCACCTAAAGCTTTTAGGGCAAGGTGACCTGCAGCTGTGATCTATAATAAAGATGCTGTTTGCTTTGACCACAAGTCTGGCCATGGAGTACAGGGACTGAGATCAAGGTGGAAAAACTATAAATTGGGATTTGTGGTCTCTGGGGCACTCTCTTCAGCGATGAGGGTGTCAGCAGGCTCCTTATGTAGATCAGTGGTTCTCAACTTTTTTAGATTCAGGGCACCCCATATTGGACCCAAGGTCCCCCTCCATAATTTTTGTGAATTGAGCAGCTTCCCATTTCAAAAATGAATTTATTTATTACAGTGCTTACCAGTGCGGTGGGGAACTTGGGCAAAGAAGAACCTGAGCCTGCACTTATCTGCTTATCTCCTCATTCTTCAGGGCACCCTTTGAAAGATCTGGTGGCACCCTGGGTGGGCTAGCACCCTGGTTGAGAATCATTCAGGTACATAAACTGCATTCCTTGGGCCTTTGACAAGTGGTAGGGGAGCCCCACATCTGGGCTGAAGAGAATTTCAGGAGTTTTTCTCTTTTAAAGTACTTGTTTGAGCAGCAGAAAGATCTTACTCATGGGTTGGGTCAGGGTAGAAATGACAGAGCTTTTGTGTTGGTCAGAAGAGAGGAAGTTTGTGAGTAAGGCTTTCATGGCCATTCCCAGAAGCAATGCACTTGGGGTAGAAAGTGTCAGCCTGATAGTCTGCATCTTGACGGGGGAAAGTGGAGAGAGACTGGCTTGGGAAGGTGTGAAGAGAGAAAAAGTCTTATCCCAAATTCATTCTAAGATATTGAGACTGGAGGAGACCTTCTCTCAGGCCATGAAGTCCAGCCCCTCTGTTGCAGGAAGCTGCAAACCATAATCCCTTTTGCAGCTGCTCATCACTCCCTTTGACAGCCATCCTTGAATTGTCACTGGGTTCCCTCAGTTCAGGTTTAGGTACAGGGAAAGGAATCCCTATCGGCTACTTTTAGCCATTGGGCAGTAGGAGATCAGGTGGAGAGTAAGACATGGTAATCTAGTTTAAGAGCCCCCTCTTTCTCCCTCAGACCCTTCTCCCTTGCCCCCAACTAAGTCTGTGTGAGAATAAACAAGGCCTTTTCCATGTCCTCCAGATAACTGGTCTTGATTTAATCTCATCCTGAGCACAGGTTAAAGGAAGAAGAGGAGGGGGGATTCATCCCCCTGACAAACTGGCATGGATGCTTCCATGTTCAGTATTTTAAGATAAGGCTAGACAAAGCCTTGCCTGGGGTGATCTAGACAGGGATGGTCCTGCTTTTGAGCAGGGGGTTGGACTAGATGTGACCTTCCAACCCTCATTTTCTATGATTTCCTGGTGTTTTGTTGGGTTTTTTTGCCTGAATACGAGGAGTAGAACAATAGTGTAAGGGCTTCTCTTCTTCCAGAGGAGATGCATGTGATGTTCTGTCCCGTGGTGACTTTGTGAGCTAGGTTTGCATCCAGGCATGTTTGTGTTTTTTTGGACAAATATCAGTCTGGTAATAACTTGGTGCCTATAAAGAACCTTTCATGAGAAAGGAAGAGTAGTTTGCTGTCCATGTGCAGAGAAGTAGCTGACAATACATTTCCAGAACTTACAGCTGCAAATGCTTGTGAGGAGACTATGTTATACCACTTAGAAATGTTCCCAGCAGTGAATAAGTGAATTGGGTTTAGATGACAATTCCTGGTCCCCAGGCATGTAGCAAATCCTTCTGCCATTGACATGTGGGGTTTCTTTTGCCTTACTGCCCTAATTTTTGTTAGTAAGAGGAAGAAGGTGCCTTGATAAAGGTGTAAGCAGGAGTAAGAAGGGACGTTCTTGGTTCTGTTGGAGGCTTGCTAGTCAAAAGTATCTGGTGCCTGTGTACCCTTGATATATCCAATGGTGTACATTGAAAAACATAGTTATGCCAGGAAGCTTAATTGTTTGGCTGCTGTTTTGGCAGTCAAATAGGGTCAGTTCCCCGCAGGATGGAGGGCCCAATTCAGAATGAAAAACCATTTTAGTTCAGTTATGCCTTGCATGTAGTGAGGGAGCAGTCTGTTGTGAGAAGTGTGTAATTGGGACCTGCTGTAGGATTCAGCTGGCCATTTGTGCCACAGCATTGTATTTTGAGCAGCGGTCTCTAAGAACTTTTGATGTGGAAGTTCATGGTGCATAGCTGAACTCAACCTTTTGTTCCTCTCTTCTTGGTGCATCTTGGTGCCAGCTCTGAGTCTGGCTTTTTAATCACTTCTGTTGGCTCCAGCCTGCTGTGCCTGATCCAGCCTACGCTGTTCTTCCTGCTTTATGGAAGATTGATTCAGTGTTGAGTCTTACAGTGCAGAAGTTTCAGTGGAAATTGGTAGCAAAATGCACAGCTCAAGGTTTTATGTGGTTGTAATTACAGCACATCAAATCAGGTTTAAAATGCATAGCTCTGGGGGTGGGTGGGGACCTTTGTGAATGGGACTCAATAACTGGTGTGCTCTGGCATCTTAAAAACATAGAACTCAAGCAGTATTTTCATGGATGCAGATTAAGGAAAGCCAGGTAATTTCAGAGGATACCCTGGGTGTGTAATAGAAAATATCCTTGCCTGTAAGATAATGAGGTATGCCTTTGTCATCAGGCATAGTACATACCTCAAGGCCCTGGCCTGTGCTACAGGGGGAACTGTGCCTGGGGGTTGTCTTACATTTTTGTTGTGTGTTTTAGGCAGAAACTTAGCTGAGTTTCTTCAAATGTTGGACTTTGAAATAGTTTGGGGGCCTGGTGAAGGTTCTCTGCACTGCAGATCACAAGTGTTTGAACCAGGTCTCCAAACATGAATCAGTTTATAGCATAGATGGATCTTGATTGGGAAAAATTGTTGTGAAATGCTTCAAAAAGATATGTTAATAACTTCCTGCACGTGATATTTAGAAACCACAGTAGCACTTTCAAAGTGGGGAGTTTCACAACAAATTCAAAGCAAGACTGTGAACGTACCCCATCTTAAGAATGGTGGTTGAGTTATGCAGTCAGAAGTCTTGATTTTTTTGCTTTCAGCAGGTTTCTGAAAAGAGACGTTCCAGCTTGTAGCACAAATTTCTATATAAGTATTTTTATGATTTTTGTTTTTCAGGAGTTTATAAAATATTTAATCTCATTCATGAGTCGAACTTCCTTTTTAAGTCATGGATGACAAGGCCTCTGTTGGAAAAATCAGTGTGTCTTCAGACTCGGTATCCACTCTTAACAGTGAAGATTTTGTCTTGGTTTCCAGGCAAGGAGATGAAACGCCATCTACAAATAATGGTAGTGATGATGAAAAAACAGGACTGAAGGTAAGAACCTGTAACCTGAGTTTGTTCTCTCTTTCTTCTAAATCAAACTAACAATGGAAGAGCTTAAAGATTGAGTTCCTTGTTATGGAAACCTTGAAAGATGAGACAGTTGATTCAAGAATCAGTTTTGCTTGCTGGTAGATTTTTGGGTTATTTTTGCTGATCATAGGCAGTACTTAGGCTGTAGAAAAGGGCTGTCTTTACCACTATCTGCCTTTTCATTTTTCTGACTGCCACTGAAGCTGACATCTTGCATTTATGATCAAACACTGGTAGTACGTGGCTGTTCTTAGTTGGTAGAGGGTTTTGGTTAAGCATGAAATATGATTGTCAGACATCTGGAATTCTGACTTAGTTGCAGCTCTCTGGGTAGAATACCCTTTTTGCAATGAAAATGTCTTTAGTTGATCCATTGACTCTTATATGTATTAAAAGATTTCCCCCATGTGAAAGGTTTTTCTAAAGACATTTGAAGTGGGGCTAAAATCAGCATATTGGACAAGTGGCATGGACTTCAGAGCACAGCCCTTGGAGTAGTTTTTGTGAACATGTGGAGACGGACACCATCTTTTCACTTGGCATGTGGTGTCTCTGAGAGAGACCCAAGGGGATTTTTGAAAATCACTTTTTTTCCTTGAGTTTATATACTAAAGTTTTCAAGCACCAGGGAAATCTTTCAGTCCTGTTTGTTTTTCAATAGTCTTTGAACAAGGGAGCAAAAATGTGAAGGTCATTCTTAGTTCTGCCTTTCACCTGTACTTGCATTTTCATGTATTTTTATATGGCGTATCTTTCCTCGGGTTGGCCCATGCTGGAACGGTCTGTGTGGGAACTGGGAAAAAATAATTCACCTTTCTAAGAGCCTTTGAGAACATGTCAGATCTCTGCCATCAGAAGGATGTGTCCCATTGGGGAATGCCTGGGGAGCTATGTGGTCTTTGGTACTGGCAGATGGGAAGTAGAACAAAAGCTTCACTGCAGATTTCCTGATGTCTTTGCTCACCTCTCTGCTCGCCCCACTGCTCTGCTTGGCTTTCTTGTATTCCTTAGTGATCTTTGTATGCCCGCTGCTGTAATAGAGGCACTCCTCACGAGACCAGGTGACTTGATGAACAGACGTGGTGGAAGAACAGTTTTTCTTAGTGATCCAGTTTTTTGGTTCTTTTTGTCTGATGAAAAATTAGAGGTCAAGAGTTGTTTTGCAACTGCAGGAGTTTGAAATATACCATATATTTCAAAAGTCGAGTCTGCAGAATATCCACAAGTGAGTAGTCCTTCAGTGATCAGCATGGTTCTAACCAGAACTGGAAGAGGGATTGATTGTTTCCTCGTGTTTGCATTGTATGATCCATTCCCAAGATTTTGGAACACTCTGTTGAGGGATTCTTTCTTTAGAGAACAGAAGTATTGGAGAGCTTCCTAAATCATCAAGAATCTGAGTTCCCAGAAGAGAGGGACATGACTAGTGTCCATTCCCTTCTGCTAGTGCCAAAGTTTGGAAAAGTGAAGTGGCTCACTCTGCAGTGCATATCACTCCTCAGTTGAGATGTCTGGATTCTTAATGCAGCTTTAATGATTACCCAGCTGTGAATGTTCTCAGATATTCATAGTTTCAGGGACATGCCTGTATGTATTTAGTCCAGCAATATTTTGGTTTGTAACCTAAAAGAAAATGGGAGTGACCTGCAAGGCAAGTACAGTCACCTCTTAAAAGGCCACATGCATCTGATGGATTAATAATTGCAGTTGCCTTCAATTGACTCCCAAAACTTACTGAATTTTATTCAGATGTGTTTACTTTCAAAGTGGAATCTAAACCAGGAAATGCTTCTGAAATCTTTTGTGCATGTGTTCTGTATCCCACTAGAGAACCAGGAATGCTGCCATTGCTTTGGAGCTGGCTTTTTTCATTCTAGGTCAACAACATTTATCAAACAAAATGACACTGTTTCCTGATTTGGAACTGAGCATTGTAGGATCTGGTTTTGCTGGTTGTGAAGAATAAGCTTCAGCATGAATCTGCTTCCAAGGTTGTGCATAATCCTTGAACAAAGTGAATCACCTTGAGTCTTTCCTCTTGCATTCAGTTGTTTGAGAGCATGTTCTGTTGTTTTTATCACTGCAATCTGAATGATTAATGGAAACGTGATACCCAATCTAAAGTCTTTCCTGCAGGAATTTCTCCTGTTAACCTCCTCTCTTTGGGTCTAGAGAAAGAAAGAGAAGACTAGACTAGAGAACAGCTCCAGCATCTTTTGACTCCATAAACTGCAATTTCCTATGCAAGACCCAAGTCCACTTGTTTACTTGGAAGCTAAATTCAAGAGCTGGTTATGCAAAGTGAGCTAATGTCAACCTCAGCAAATCAAAGTGTGTGACCGTGGACCATGGAAAACTACTTTTTGAAACAGTCTCTGCATTGGATCAAGGTTGCATGTTTAACATGGAAGTCAGAATGCTTTGGAGGGATAAAGAATTAGATGCACAAGTGTAATTTAATCTCTTTGTATTTGCTTAAAGACCCACTGCTATCAGGGGGCTACAAAAGGAAATGGAGACTCCTATTACAGCAACAACAAAACCAATTCCAAATCTGAGTTTGAAGAGGGGACACTTACCAGAATTGTTGTTCATGTCTCTAACTCTGGGACAACAATTTGTTCACTCTGTGTGCTTCATAAGGATGTTGCTGAATGTGGGCAGTGTTGCTGAATTTGGTGAACTGTGAAAGATGCACACTAAGCTGGAGGGTTGGAAAATGCTCTTGTCCGAGCAAATGGACGCTCCTGTTTCTCTTTTTTTGTGAAATGCATCCAGATGAATACACTCTTGAGTAGAGTCCTGGGCCATATTGCTGTTGTGTAGTCAGTCATAAGTCTTTAAGTTTTTTGGTTAAAGGCTTGGTTTCTGTTTATGCTGATATGCACAGTTCCTGCACTTTAAAGCGTTACTTTCCCTGCTTAATTGTTAGGTATGGTGGTCTGCTTCCACTACTTTGTCCTATATTTGCTCTGCTTTTGTCAACTGGCAGGCAGAGTGAATTGAATTTTCAAATACCTTGTTCTTAGTGTGTTCTGTAGAACAGATGTCTTGTAATAAGTGTATTGAAATCCCAATGAGCATAGAAGGCCAGCACTGTTCATGCATGTGTATAATTGGAGGAAAAGGATAAATTGTATGCCTAAAATGGCCCTGTGTGGTTAACAGCAAACAAGCAGCAAAGTCGGTGGCTGGGCTGGTGCTGTTTTAAAAAACCTTTTGGAGTTTATGCTGGGCTCAAAACTGATGGAACGCTGGTTTGAAGGAATAAGCTTTATTCTCTGTTCTGAACAAACCTAGACTGAAACATTTACCAGACCCTGAAGATGTGGTTGGCTTTTTTCCCCTTTGCCACAATTTCTATCGGCATGCTGCTGCTGCCTGTCATGGGATGCCTTGGTGCGGCACCCGTGAGCTACAGTAATGTTCCATCTTACAACAACCTTTGCTGTCCTTAGATTGCGACCTATTAGTTAATTTAACACCCTGCAAGGAAGGTCTTCTAGGAATCCAGGCAAGAAAGAAAGAAAATGTCTCAACTCCTGAACAATTTTGTGTGTGTGTGTATTTGGGGCCCTCAAAAGAAGTGAACTTGCCTTAAGTGCAGATTTCAAGTGCATGGATATTTATTATTGCATTTTTGGAATAAGGACCATTTGTCTCTGGGCTCTTGCTTTTATCAATTCCTGAAATACAGATTTTTGTAGGAGCTTTTTCAAAGCAAAAGCAGTTCTTTTTGGGTTCCTTTAAGGTGTTGATGCTTTTGGCCTTACCCCATGTCCTGTTAGAGGCACCTTTGGCTTTGCTGGACCAGTTAAATGAGTCTAATCTGAAATCGTATTCAGTCACCCAATAGCACCCTCACCCGAGTGCCCCAAGGGATGGCAAGATTGAACGGTCACAAACTCCTCCGCGACCAGTTCAGGCTGGACATAAGGAAAAACTTCTTTACTGTCCGAGCCCCCAACGTTTGGAATAGACTGCCTCTGGAGGTGGTGGAAGCACCCACTTTGAACGCCTTCAAGGCACATTTGGATGTTTATCTTGCTGGGATCCTATGATCCCTGCTGACTTCCTGCCCCTGGGGCAGCGGGCTGGACTCGATGATCCTCCGGGGTCTCTTCCAGCCCAAATGTCTATGAAATAGTTTTGCTTGTCGCTATGTGAAGGTGAGCTCAAGCACTTCATCTAGATCCAGGCAGCATTTCAGAGGTTCTACAGGTGACATTGGGTTTTTAATGCAAAACTCAGTCTTTTCCTGTATGCCTCTGCCCTTTCGCAGAATAAAAGGCCTGGACATGTTTTAAATGTGCTCCAGCGACAAGTTGCTTTTATGTTAATTCTGCATTCCCAGGTTTTGTTAACAGCAATATCCAGATAAGCAATTGGTAGTGAAACCTTTGCCCTTTGGATCCTGCGTACATGTGCACTGTTGTTTTTTCAGGTGGCTCTTATTCACCTTGTAGAAACTGTGAACTTCATATCCTCTGAATGACTTGTGTCTTTGTAGATATTGTAATTGCAGGGTGAGTTGGTTTGAAATATTTGAACGAGGCTTAAAAAAATATTTATCTTGGTTTTTCCTTTCTTAAAACTGCACCTTCGGCATTGTCTGTAATTTTTTTCTAACAGTAATTCGACCTGCTCTGTTATTTAACTTGGTCCACACCAAGTCTTGAGGTGGGTCTGTCTCCATGGAGCAGATGCGCACACAGCTAGAATGTGCATCCAGCTTTTTAAGTAGACCTGACAGTGCTTGAGTCCCTGTTGTCAGCCAGTAATGTTAGCCTTGGCATCTGCTAGTGGCTTGAGTCACTGTTTCACCTGACTGGAGCTTGGCTGCTAACTTCATGGAGTCGGAACACGTGTAGGAGAGGCTGCGGGCGAACATTGAGTGACGAGGTGCTAATGGGGGTTGTGGAGATGTTGCAGTGAACACGCTAGAATTTGCTACAAAGATCATGCCTTCATGCATTAAAACTCTCTGTGGATTTGTCTGTTTTCATTGATGATGCATCACCATTCATCCCTTCTGAAGAGAGTCTAATTCTCCATGGAAGATGAGCTTGATTCTTAATGAGAAGCTGAGCTGTTGCATTCCAAAGCCTCAAGCTCACATTGGGGATCTTATCCATCTCATCATAAACACTTGAGTTTTACTTTCTTTTACCATGGAGGAAAAAATGAGCAAATTTGAATGTTCTTAGCTAGCCATGGCTTACTGAGTTTTCCAAGACAACGCTTCACTTTGGGGTGGTATGTCTCTTCTGCTGGTGGCAAATCAGCCAAGGTAAAATGTTGGGGGGAATCCCTGAAACTGCTTCCTATGTTAGCATGCAGTACCGAAGCATCGGCAGCTCATGGAGACCTTATCTGGTTTGTAGTCTGCAATGATAACCACTAGATTTCTCTCCTGCTCCTTGTGCTTGGTGATGGCTTATTACTAGTATTATTTTATAACTGATGTTTCATTCCTCATGTGCCAGCTTCTAAGAAAGCTTCTCACTTCCTAGGTCATTGGATTGGATTAGGACCAGGTCACTATTGACTGAAATGTGTTACTGGGGGAAGGGTATCTTGCAGCTTCTGTACCAAGCAAGTCTGGTTCTGTTACTAGTGGATGGGTACATGGGTGAGAAGCCACCATCGTTGCCATTTGGATAGATCCCTTTGGCAGGCTGAATATTGGGGTCAAGGATTGATTTAGCTGCTGGAGCTACCTTCTCCAGCTTGGGAGTGGGGCAGAGTCATAAGAGATGTGGAAAAGCTTGGCTTGCCACAACATGTGTTGCAGCAGTTACATGGATAGAGAACTTCACTAACCTACAGGAATGACCCCTTTCACCTCTGCTCATAATGTGTTAGTTTTTCTTCCTTCCTAGTTAGTGCTTCCACATGGCAAACTGTTAGAAAATCAAGGTTGTTATGTTACCCCTGCACGTTCTGCTGTACACAGTTGGGGGTTTATGCATATTCATAATAGCGTGCATATGCCTTAAGGGGTATGTGTGTGAAAGAGTGGGAAGTGTTTTGAGGGGGGCATAAGTTAAGCTTGGGATGGGAAGGAGATGAGCCGTAAGACCTGCAGCTGGTAATTGTGATACGACAGGATTACTGCTCAACAGAAACAACTTCTCAGTAAAGTAAAGGAGCCAGTAGTGATCAGACTTTTTCAGGCTTGGAGCCTTACGACAAAGGTGTTTCAGAAAGTAATGGCAGTTTTGAAATAAATCCATTGTGCACAATGAGTGGGAAATTGCACAGCAGTGAGGACACTGATGGCAGCCTTGTCAAATGCACCCATCATTTCCAACTACGTAGAGAAGTGATGTGTTTCAGTATATGATCGTTGCACACAATGGCTTGATTTTGAAATTGCCATTACTTCCTGGAACACCCTTGCCCATTATTTTTGAGGGCACTCGTGTGGCTGCTGCTATGGGTTTCCTCCATTCGCAATGTTTTCTTAGTCCAGGCCACTTCCTACTTCTCGCCTCTCTGTCATGACATGTGAAGGTGTCCTGTTTTAACATGTGTAAGTGACTTCAGGTTGATCATGATTCAGTTTCAATCTGTGAACCTAGGCTGTCGTTTCATATGTTTATGGGGCGGTTTAATCTTCCACCAAGTCCATGGACATGTGAATAGCTTAATAGGGGCAAGTCAGATTGTCCTAAGAAAGCTGCAGATGCCTGAAACAGCCTTTAAAAGCAGTGTAGCCCTGACCACAGCATGGCAGAATTACTCCTTCATGAATCGGACAATTTCCTCATGTTTTCAGGTGTGTAGCCTGCCCACTTGTACACAGCTGCCAGGGTCTGATTTGCTGTAGGCTCCTGTCATGAACTACGTTTTTCCCTTGGTGTGACCGTAGCCCATGGTGCATTGGTTACAGTGCGCTTCACATTATTTACTCAGGACATAAGCAGTGGTCTGTGCAGACTTCGCTCTGCTCTGTGTCCTCTTCTTTCTCCTTTCCCTGCTTCTGTCCTCACTATCTCGTTTCTGAGAGAGAAGCAGGAGAGAGCAGAAGCAAATTCCAGATTCCATCTCATGACTAGGATTTAAAAAAGGAAAACATGGGGAGCCTAATGGATAGGGGCTTGTAAAATGTGGTAGACTGCTTATGGCCTGGTACGACTGCACAGCCAGCATCCTGTTAACTTGCATGCATTGTTGCAAATGGATAAGCTTACCAGAAATGGGAGGGATGTGGAAATAAGTGACAGATCACAAGAGGTGGGAAACGTAACAGCCAGTAATGGAAGAGCTGCAGTTCTTAGTTGAGTCCTTCTGGCTGCCACTGGGTAAAATACATTCAAGGGACCTTATCTTTGTTCTCCTGTATCTGTAAGGCATCTTACCCACCTGTGTACTGTGGCGGTGGGTACTGGGTATTTTTCTAGTCAGCATCTAGCAGGCTTCTGTTATATGAAGTTTCTTGTTTCAGAAGCACAAATGATACTAGACACCAGTACTGCAGTCTCATGCTTTGCGTTGCAAGTGTGTTCTGGTCCTGCGCTCCCCAGCCCGGTAGTCCTGGTCGGTAGCGAGAGCCCTTCCAGTTGGAGAGCCTGTCCCAAAGACTCCTAAATGTTGTGGAAGGGGCAGGTGCAGAAGAAGGGAAATTGCACCTTCCTCAGGGACAGAGTTGGGAGGCTATGTAACATCCTTTCCCAGCTTCCTAGGAATCGAACCCAGTGCCCTGCATGTCAAATGAGAATACCAGGGGTCAGACTGTAGTGGGGCAAGGAGCGCTCGCCCTCAGCTGAAAGAGAAGAGGTGCTCTTCCATCTGCCAGACTTCTCCTCAGCTCCTGTTATGAACACTTGCCCTTCCACTCTGTTTGTCTGAATCATTGCAGGACATGAAGCACTGGCTCTGTCCTTTCCTCAAGTAGGGTTCTGATATTCTACCACTTAAACTGGTGAGAGTATTGCTGCTGAGTTCAGTGGGCGCAGGCTCAGGCCCTAAGTGAGTGGTTGCAAGAAATGCAGCAGAAATATGGATGTTTAAAACTTTCCTTAAACAGCTTCTTTTCTGGAGACCCAGGTACCAACCCATCCCTGACCCTGCTCTTTCTGGTTCTCTTACCGTATCATCTGTTTCACCAGTAGAGAGGGGTTTTGCTGGTATATGAATTGTGCTGAGTGTGTGCCTATGTTTGCCAGCCCTGATGCTACTGTGAGTTTCATAATAGAGCATTGTAGTGCTGACCTGTATAAATACTCCCACTTAGAGCTAGTTTACATGTTTATGTGATAACTTTCTCATTCCTTTTTCCCAGAGCTGGATTGTTCCTGCTCTGAGAGACCTTTGCAAAGTTTTATCAAAGTACTAAACAAACTAACTTAGTTTCCAAATTGTTTGTCTTTCATTTAAGTTAAATTGTAGTTGGTAATAGGTATAGATTTCTGGCAGCTATTTTTGATTGACAGAAGAGATCTTTGTAGCATGCTGGTATCTGTATGTCCTTGTACGTGAGGGTTTTTATCTTTAACTGAAAAATCTTTTTCCTTCTTGACTCCATTTTGTGACTGTCAGATTGTAGGTAATGGAAGTGAACAGCAGCTTCAGAAGGAACTTGAAGACGTGCTGATGGATCCACCCATGGAAGACCAGCCAAGTGATCGGGAACATGGGGAAGACAGTCGGGCTGATGGAGAAGAAGAGCCCATCATTCTTGAGGCTTCGGCATCCTCTACCATTAACCCAGTGTCCATGGCAGGACCCCAGAAACCCGAGATGAGCCTGCCAGTGAAGCCAGCACAGGAAGGTTAGAAGAAATGCCCACCAGCATCCATCTCTCTCCCTCCCTCCCTCCTGCCGAAGTACATGTGTGTGTTGCATAGTGCATGTTGCATTTATCATTTCATCTGCTCATACAGCAGGACAGTACCAACAGTATAGTTGCATGCACTACTTGGAAAGTAAGTTAGCAATTCCAAACTGTTCGCCATAATGCAGATGAGCATGGCTAATATTTTTAAATTGCTCTGCTTTTTTCACTTAGAAGGATATCAGGAAGTGTACTGCTCTCCTATAGACACCTGTGAATGCAGCTGCATCTGGGTTGAAGACTGCATGCAGTTGCAGTGAAGGAGTGAGAGACAAGGAAACTTGGTCTAAAGATAATGAAGCAAATCCCCTGTTCTTTGGGGGGTTTTGTTTTGTTTTTAAAGAAAGCCATGGGAGCTTTAATATCCATGCCAAGCAGATGGGTTAAAATTTTCAAAAACATACAAGTTGTGTTTTCATAGTTTCATAGTTTCTATGGTGGGAAGGCACCTGAGCAGATCATTGAGTCGGACCCCCTGCTGTGGCAGGAAAGAGTACCGGGGTCAAACGACCCCAGCAAGGTGTACATCTAGCCTCCTCTTAAAGACCCCCAGGGTAGGACCAAGCACCACTTCTCTTGGAAGTTGGTTCCAGATCCTAGCCGCCCTGACCGTGAAGTAGCACCTCCTGATATCTAGCTTAAATCTACCCTCTGCCAGTTTGTGACCGTTATTCTTGGTCACTCCTGGTAGTGCACGAGGGAACAGGGACTCCCCCAATGCCTGCTGGTCCCCTCTGACTAGTTTGTAACAGGCCACTAGATCCCCCCTCAGCCTTCTCTTGTGGAGGCTGAACAGGTTCAGGTCCCGTCACCTCTCCTCGTAGGGCCTGCCCTGCTGCCCCCTGATCATGCGAGTGGCCTCCTCTGGACCCTCTCCATGTTGTCCACATCCCTCCTGAAGTGTGGTGCCCAGAACTGGACGCAGTACTCCAGCTGCGGCCTGACCAGTGCCACATAGAGGGGGAGGATCACCTCCCTGGACCTGCTTGAGATGCATCTGTGGATGCATGACAAGGTACGGGTGGCCTTCCTGACTGCATCCCCTCGCTGCCGGCCCATGTTCATCTTGGAATCAATGATATCAAAAGCGAGTTAGTGATATAGGAGCAAAAGTCTTAGCTCAATAAGGTGAAGTACCCAGAAATTAAATCCTGGGTAAAATTTTAAGGTACTAGGTGGCCTGAACTGGTTGTTGCCAGAGGGCTGTCATGTGATTCCCTTGGGTGGAGAGATGGGTGGAGCTCGAAGAACATGAATCAAAGATCTTGTCCAAACTGTTGATAAAGTTTGGAAACTGTCTTAAGGAAAGCCTGGTGGTCAGCTCCCAATATCACATTCTCGGAGCTGCTTCTAATCAGGTCTTCTTAGAATGGTGCTGACTCTTCATGAAGGGGTGAAACTTGGAGCAGTCTGATAGTATGTTAGTAGGGAGTCCCCATGGACTGAGCTTATCTTTAGCACTTGGACAGTCTTGCCGCTCTCTCCTCTCCATAATGTACTTTGAAGTGAGGATTTTAGGCATCCCCCTCCCCCCCTTTTTTTTTAACCTGTTCTCCTGGCTTTGTGCAGCGTTTGTCATGTGGTGTTGCAGACCTGCTCTGGAGGGTTCACTTGCTCCTGCCCTCTGGTCCATCTCTTTGGTGGTAACTTTGTGCTCTACTGCAGAATGCGAGGAGCCAAGCCCTTTTACGCCCATAGCCGACGAAGACAGCGTGGTGTTCAGCAAGCTCACGTACTTGGGCTGTGCCTCTGTGAATGCCCCCAGGAGCGAAGTGGAGGCCCTGAGGATGATGTCTATCTTACGAAGCCAGTGCCAGATTCCTTTAGACGTGACCTTGTCAGTGCCTAACGTGTCTGAAGGAACTGTGAGGTATGGTGCTTGTTCAGGGAAGTATGTGGGTTGGGTGTTGCCCATGTTAGCCATTCCATCTGTCAGAGGAGAGCAGGTTGCTTTCTCGCACATGGGAGAAGACACGGGCTACTTAAGTGGTTTTTTTTTTAGATTTCATAAAAGGGGATGTAAGGTCACATGGAAGAAGAGAAAGTCTAAAGGACCTGTGGATCTATTTGCAGAACTTTTATGCACAAGGAACAGCAAGGAATGGTGACCTGAACTGTCTGGGAAAAGTAGGAGTGGGGATTGGCATTAACGGATGCTGTGGAAATGGAACTATAGCCTCTGGCCAGGACTGGCTAATTATTTGGTTTGGAGGATCTTGGGCATGGGGGAGGTTGTCATCTCCCTCCTCAAAAAGTGCTACAGAAGGGCAGGCAAAGGGGTATTGTAAATGTAAGGAGCATTGCTCACCTGACAGATGTGACCTGCTCTGCAGTGGGTCTGCTTTCTGAAGGCTGAGGGAAATTGTGGATGAAAGTACGTGCTGCATTTTGGATGCTTACAATTTAGGATGAGCACAAAAGAAATGAAAAGTCAGCAGTGAAAACTTAAAACGCTCTGAACCTAGCACTGCTGGTCTGATATGTCCTGTTCCTCCACTCCCCCAGATTAAAGCATTTCAGTCAAGTTTGGAGATACTTGGAGTTTCTCCAGATGGAATCCCCATTCAATGAGTTTCAACTTCAGCACTGGCCAAATGCCTCCTCCTATGGTGTGGCAGTTATGCAGGTGTTAGGGTTGGGTCAGTATTTCATGTGCAGTTATAAAGGTAGGTGACAGTTGAGGGATGAGATTTGTATACCACACTTTCTTAGGGTATCAGTGGAATCCTTCAGTCTTGCAGTAAGTTGTTGGTCACAGCAGTTCTTGTCAAGCCCAACATTTTTTTTCCCCTTTTTTTTAAACAGGCTCTTGGAGCCTCAGTCAAATACAGAAATAGCAAATTACCCAATCTACAAAATCCTTTTCTGTGTGCGAGGGCACGACGGAACCCCGGAGAGCGACTGCTTTGCTTTCACCGAAAGCCACTACAATGCGGAGCTCTTCAGGATTCATGTCTTCCGGTGTGAAATCCAAGAAGCGGTAAGTGGGATCTTTGTCTCGGAGTTCTAGCTCCCTAAATTATATTTCAGATGCAAGCACATCCTCAGATTTCCAGACCTCTCTCACTTTTGTGGGGGATCAGACACTTTCAAAATTTGGTCCTAATGCAATTCAAATTTGTTGCTTGCAAGTCTTATTACAAAGTGACTTTATGATTGGGGTTTCAGGTTTTCTATAATTTTACACCCAAGTAATTCACCCCATGCTGCACAATCATACTCATATTTTCAGCCTTGATGGTGACCTTGAGAAAGGGACCAAAAGCCACTTGATTCCTAATTCTTTGAGGAGCTAGTAGTTAGTCCTGGTCTGAATACAAAATTGCCAGCTGAATTGATACAAGCCAAGTTCAAACCAAACTTCCTCAAAGATGACTTGCACGCAATATAGCACCGGCTTAATTATGATTGTGCCAGCTTGCACTTTTAAACAATTTGGTATTGTTGAACAGTTGGATTAAATCAGTGTGACATCAGAGTTGAGGTAAGGCTGTGCTGTTTGTGTGCACACAAATCCACGTGAGTAGAGCATACTTGATATAGAATTACATCGTGATAAACAACTGGCCCCACAGTGGTGTTTTTTTACTATAAGCACACCCTTTAAATGGAGAAGTAACTATTATTAGGAGCAACTATGCCAGGCATTTTGGAATATCGTGAAGAAATGGACTTTTTATTACAAAAAACAAAACAGTTAATAAATGTGTAGCAGTTGCATTTTTGAGGCAATGGAGAATGCATATTTAGTAGCTTATGTTCTGAAGGTACTTGGAGAGAATCCCAGTCAGGACTGAGAATCAAAATCTCTCTCCTTGCACAACATGTTTTCGTTATTCTAGTTAATAAGAAAAGAAGTGGGCTTCCAGTTGTCTTGTCCTGCCTGAATCTCTTCTGATGGCTGTGGTGCTTTATCAATGTAGGTGAGTCGAATACTGTACAGCTTTGCCACTGCCTTCCGCCGATCTGCCAAACAGACTCCACTTTCTGCCACAATGACCCCACAGACTCCTGACAGTGACATTTTCACATTTTCCGTATCTCTGGAAATCAAGGAAGATGATGGGAAAGGTTATTTCAGGTACAGCTTTCTCATTTCTACTTGCCTATTGTCTGGTTGTATTGTTGGGAAATAAGTGGAAGTGTCTAAATGAGCACAGGTTATGCTTAAGATCTTTCTTTTTGAAGAGTTCATCCTCTGCAGTAAACTAATCCCAGATGGAAGCATTCATTCAAAGGAGAGTTGTGGTTAATTTTTCAATTTTCTGAACTTGTTCAGGACCCTGCAGTTGGATAATCTTGTGGTTTTCATTGCACAGAGTCCAAGGCTGCCTGCCCAATGTTTCTCTGTGTTCTTATATGCCACTTTGTTTTTAAAACCCTGTGTGCAGGGCAGAGAAACTACTACAGCTGAGTGAGACTAAATATGCAACAGTACTTCAGATTTCAAATCCAGGACTGCAGGTGTCAATGGCTACGTTTTTCAAAGATGCTGACTGCTGATCAGTCCCCTGAAGACAATGGACACTGGAGGTAGTTAGTGGCATCTCTAGCAAGACCTTTCCCCCTTCCAACAAAAGGGGATAACAAATCACCTGCTGTCAGGATAGTACAATAAAATTTTGAACACATTCTGACCTAATAGGAAACCTTACATATAATTAAGTCAGAAAAGTAGCTGCGCTAAAATGGGGCTCGTGCTGGGCAGGCAGGCTCTTGCATATTCGGCACGCTTCAGACCCCCAAAGAAAAAGAATGCAGGGTATAGCAGGTTGCTTTCCTACATAGAGGTCCCTTCTTTTCGACTGTTTTCATTTAATTTGTAGACATGCATGCCCTCCAGCCCCCAAAACTGCTTTAAAAGTATGCAGTTGGCCCAAAAAAGATGGCATTTGCTCTCCCGATAATGTTGAGCATGTTCCTGACAATGTGTCTATTGTATTGATGACATAACTCTTCTCTTCACCATGGACATTATCATAGCTTCCTTATCCAGCCCCTTGGTGACCTATTCCCCAAGCTTCTCCCCTGCCGCTGTCCTAAGATGGTGCAAGTGTTTCCGAGCCCTGTCCTGTCTAAAATCATGTCTTCCCCTTTCACTCTCAGTCTCTTAAGACTCAGCAGTGCCACATCACTTGCTGTTAAATACCACCACCATCACCACCCAGAAATGACTGTCACTATGTTCTGATTCTTTTCAGCAGGAATTTTGATTTTGATGTGAAATCAACTCTGATAGAATGACTTGATAGAAATCACTGATGAGGTTGTGCACGTCAAAAGGAGTTTATTTCTGTAGGTCTGAAACTTGTGTCCTTGCGGAAATAAATTTGGAAGCAGATCTGCTTTAACACTAGTTTTACCCTTGCTTTCTGAGTATGATAAATGAAATTAAACTGTGTTAAACACTTTGGGAGCTCTTTTTTGGCAGAAGTAACTCTCTTGGGAAGCTTGGAGCCAGAGCCAACAAAAACAAATATTACATTCTCTTTTTCTCTGTAAGAATAGAGTGTTTTGATAAATGTCTGAGGCTGTAGAGTTGTGTAGTCTGAGCCAGAGTCTCAAGGTCATACTCCTTCCTTCTCCTGACCTCATCTTCTTACACTTATTGTATTAAGTGCTGCCATTATGTTGTAACTACAAGCCCAGCAGCCTCTACAGATTGCAGTGTTGCTCAGGTGAGTGAATCATCATGGACAATGTGCCCTGTGGTTTCTGGAGGCTTGCAGACCACTTGCATCATAGGGAGAACCCTAAGTTTCCTGGGTGCTGCCAGAGATGTGTGCGACTCCCAGGTGCATAGTTTGTTTCGGAGCCCAATCCTGCAGGAAGTGCCAGCCATCTGCACTTCCAGAATTGACCTCTGCCCTTCTTACAGAAAGGATCAAGGGAGAGGAGGCTGCTAGTGTTGCTATTGCAGGTCTCCAGTGTTGGCACTCCTCTGGTGTGTGATCCGTTTGACTGACATTCAAACCACTGCTTGTGGTTTCAGAAAGCTAAATCTCCCCATTGGCTGCTAATGCTTAATTATAGCTTTGTAATGGAGCTCATGTCTATTTCTAAATGTTTGTCTTCTCAGTCCTCGTTTTCAGAGTTCATCTTGCTTTTATTTTCTAATCCAAGTGCTGCAGCAGATTTTGTATTTTTGAGGCTGCAGTTCACAGGACATGCGGCAGTTTTGAGGTCTGTTGTGTCTGCCAGTGGATAATCCTGATTCCTCAAAAGCCTTTTTCCAGTTTTCGTTCTCTCTCTGGTCCTGCACAGTGCCCTCTAATGTTTTATGTAACCATTTATAGCATTTTAGAGTTGCTGAGTTGGCTTTCTCTCAGGGTAGCATGGCTGCCAAGTGCTTTGACTTGCTGAGCATGTTTGGCTGCTGGCCACGGGCACAGAGATTTCTCCGCTTGGATTTATGTCCACTAGAAGCTTTTAAAATCCTTTTGATGGTGATCTCCTCCTCTGTTTATACAGCAGCTTCTGTCCTGGAGAATCCAAAGTACTGCTCAGATGTCACCAAGTAAAATACAAATTTATGACCTGATCCTGAATACCCTCTTATATAAGTAGCTTGCCTACACTGTAGTTGGTGTGAGGGAACATGTGTAGTCAGGTTGGATCAAGAAAAGATGAAACTAAGATGGAATGAGTGTACATTTTTCACTCAGTTGCTTATCCCGCACGTTTCATGGCTCCCTCACAGCAAGACGTGTTAGCTCTGGCAGCCATCCTGCAAATGTGACTGTGCTGCTGTTCTTCTTTGAATGTAGACAGGTATTTCTGTCTGCCACTGCACTGTGCTGTGTGGAAATACCCAGTGTGCTTGCAGATGATCTACAGTTCTAACATGTAATTGGTTACTAGCCCAATTATTTGCAGGTTGGATGAGACGACAGCCTGTTAAAAACATTCCTCCGATTGCTGCAGGAACCATCCCAGAGCAAGCCACCTAGCAAAAAGGAAATAGTTAAATTAATACAGAACTCAAGGGCCTACCATTACCTAATTTCTGTTGCCATCTCTCATGTTGCTGATTGCAGTTTGCATGGAAGCAGGGTCTGAGTGTGGTTGTGTACAAAACAGACTTCACCAAATGTCTGATATTGTTTTTGATGCTTGCAAGGCATATGGATAAGTGACCCACTGAGTTGTTTTTTGTTTTGTTTTGTTTTCTCCCTGTCTGGCAAATAACAGTGCAGTTCCCAAAGACAAGGACAGACAATGCTTTAAACTCCGCCAAGGGATTGATAAGAAGATTGTGATTTATGTCCAGCAAACTACTAACAAAGAACTTGCTATTGAGAGGTAACATAGTATTTCATTCTTTATCTGTGTTTTGTTTGGTGCCTTATTCTTTGCTTCCAAGGCAGTAGATCTGAGGCCTCTATCAAGGTGCATTTTTTTAATGCCCATATAACTACAGCATGCAAACCTTTACTAGGCTGGGCTATGCCAAGGCCATGACCCTGCATTGATTTTTACATTGAAGATGCACAGTACAGATGGAGGCAGCTACCTGTGCAGACTCATTTGTAGGAGCGGAGCCCATGGCTACTGTTATACAGCCACATGTAGAAAATATTGCTACTATTTGAAGGTGCCAGTGTTGTAAAGAAAGTTTCAAGTGAAATTGGTTTTAAAGTGACACAGCAACCAGCAAAAGCTTTATCTTTTTAAAACCATCATTGTGGATATAGGTTTGTTACATAGGCCATTCTGTAGTCTCTTGTATCCCTTTGGAAATGTCCTGCCTAATCAGGTCACAAAAATGTTCTGTGGGCCCAGTGTGGAAGATGCATTGTTCTGAGGTTATTTAAAATGTGTAAAGCTGAGTTTTATACTTACAGCAGCAGATGGGTACTTTAAGCGGAGGGTTCATTTCCTGTAGCATCTGGGCATCTTGTCTTCTGGTATTCTTATTTAGGTGGATTCTGAATCTAGTGTGGTTTAGAATCAAGAACACAGTTCCCCAACCTTTGGTCCATGGTCAGCAATCCTGAGCCCTGTGAGCAGTGTCACACTCTGCTCACAGCTATAGGAAAATTAAAACTTTAAAACAGACAAGCTGAGAGAACAATGTCACATGGGGTTTCTTGGTTTGGGGACCAGTGATGTAAAGTGGGGAATGAAGGAAGTGTCAAAACCTTCCAAAGATGAGAGAAAAACATAAAATGTTTCTAAACTGAGCACATACTCAGCACCTCTTTATGCTGAAGAGGGGACTATACCTTCTTTCACACTAAAACAGAATAGAACAGATTAGGTTGTCATGCAGACAGGAGGATAAAGTAAACCTTTGACTTTCCAGCTATCAAGCATGTTTTGGGGAAATGCATGAAAGACAAGCCCTTGCATTTAATCTTGAAACTTCAGCTTCTTGTCTGTCAGAGAGAGAGTGCACAAGTTCCTTAATGAAAAGTACGTGTTATAATAGGATATGGGGATAACAATAACATAGCCCAACCTGTAGTAAGAGCACACTTTGTTAGACATAGCTGTAATTATACTGATCTTGGGGGAAAACAATCTTGTCTTGAACCCCTCTTGTCATGCGAAAACGAAGTTATAAACTTCTTCACAAAACTGAGCTCTATTTCTGGTTTCAAATCCAATTATTTTGTAGTGTGCACAGGGGGCAGCAAGGGATAGGAGATGCTGTTTACCAGGATGCCCCTTGGGGTAACTAGAAACAACAGCCATAAACTGACAGAGAGCAGATTTAGACTAGACATCAAGAAGAACTTCTTCACAGTGAAGGTTACCAGAATCTGGAATGGGCTTCCAGGGGAGGTGGTGCTTTCCCTTACCTTGGGGGTCTTTAGGAGGAGACTGGACGAGCACCTGGCTAGAGTTATCTGACCCCAGCACTCTTTCCTGCTCAGGGAAGGGGGTCAGACTTGATTATGTACTGAAGTCCCTTCCGACCCAAAAAATCTATGAAACCTAGGTTAATATACAAGTAGATAAATTTACAAATGAATTGTAGGCAGGACGTGTTAGCTGCTTGTCTCAACTGTAACCTTGATTCCCTCCTCTGCCCCCCCCCTTATGGATTAATTGTGTGTTTGCAGGTGTTTTGGCCTTCTCCTGAGTCCAGGCAAGGATGTTCGGAGTGGTGACATGCACCTTTTAGACTTGGTAAGAGGATTATTTATAACAAAGCATGAAGCTGTTTTTTAACAGCATTGCTGTTTGACCAATATTCTCTGCTGTGCACTGAGTGAGGCAGGGCAAGAATGTGTAATCATGGTAGTCGAGACTTCATCATAGTGCACAAGGGGACTGAATTAAGATCATAGAGGAAACTTTAGTTCTGCTGTTTCCTGACTTGTGACTGCCATCTCAGATCTTTTAACGAAGGTCTTTTTTGAGAGTAATACTTTAAAAAGAGGCCAGTATAAAAATTGTCCCTGCTTCACTGTCATTTAGCTGTTAGAACACCAAGTACAGCATTATCTTTCAGTAGAGTTAATAAAACATTCCTGTATGTTGGAAAGTACATTAGTGTGAAACAGCTGAAAGGCTTTTTGAGATTAGCAGCTGGTAAAGCAAGTGTTAGTTTAATTTGTGTCAGTATATTTGAGATAATGAACTCCCTGAAGAACACTGAGAGTGAACATGCCCCTTGGGCAGCTGTCACTTTGAGACTGCCTGGTCTGAAACAAGGCAGAAGAGGTGGATTGCTTCAACTTCTAAGACAGTGTTCATAAAGAAATTTGAAGGTGTGAGCACCATTAGTGTAGTTTCTCCTGCAGCATGGAGCCACTCACTCCCTTTCTCTATACCTGACTTCAGCCTGTCAGATCAGTTGTGACCTGAAAATAGTTGAACTGTATTGGCTTGTTGTCCTTTTCTGAAATAAGCTGTTGATCTTAAGAAGTACTCACTTTACTCCAAGATAATAAAGCTGTAGTTGACATAAACTGGAGCTTCCTGGTAGTCTTGGCAGGGAGGCCAGATGTTGCACTGGCCATAGACTGAACTTTCCTTTATCCTGAGACAGTCTTTTCCTGTTAGGGCAGAGAAACATGGACTTGGGAAGTTTGCCCCACTATAGCCTCTGCAGGAATGCATTTGTGGACAAACAGCAGATGTCTGACTCTGCTGGTGACCTGTTGCACCTTTCAGTGGCACCCAATTTGCTAGACATAATTCCAGAAAGGTTTAGTCATTTTATTTCTTCCATTTGTTTGCAGGAGTCCATGGGCAAAAGCTCTGATGGGAAATCATATGTAATCACGGGGAGCTGGAATCCAAAGTCTCCCCACTTCCAGATTGTAAATGAAGAAACTCCTAAAGGTACCAAATTTAACTTGGTGACCAGCAAACGTATTAGTTTGCTGCATGGGTGTGGGTTACTTTTTTCCTAAGAAGGTCTTTTGCTCTTTTCTTGTAATGACACAAGGTAGCACAAGAGGCAGTGTGGCTCTCTGCATTGGATTGCACATGGATGCTAGTGTGCTGGGTGTGGCACAGCCTACCTAAATACAACAAAATAGAAAAATAGGCAGAGAGAAGTCCTTTATCTAGTATTAAAAAATCAGGCATCTTAACAGGGAAAGGATTAGTGATCCCAGGCAGTACAGGCTTGATGAGAAGGCCTTGTGTACTGAGGATCCCAACTGCTTCTGTTTAGCTTCTATAGACTCCTGTTGTACTAAAACATCTACCACAAGTTTCCCTTTTGTCTGTTTTTAATTCTCACTCTAAATGCCACAGACTTACAGTGGACAAAATGCTGTGTAGAAACCGACACTTGCCAAAAACTCCTCATTCCCAAAACCAGCAGATTTGTGGCGTTCCAGATTTCACCTGTTGTTTGCACTTCAACTTTTGGTGGTGAAAAGCACCATAGCCTGGTATCCAAACCCATGTGGCTTTCAGTCCATCAGGTTCTGAGCCAGTCTGTGGCATCGGTGTCAAACCTGTTGCCCACATATCTGTTTCCAATTCTGCAGAATCTGAAGTTCCCATTTTAAAAATGGAAGTTTCTTGCCGAGATTTGAAAATAATACTTTACAAATGTGGCCTGCGTTGTAATTGCAGCTGTGCTGCTGTCTTGTTTGCATGGAGTCTGAAGCAGCTCAGAGAGATGTGAAATGCAGTCATTCATCTCTCTAGCCTAATGAAGGAACCTGAGGAATCAAATTTTCAACTAATTTAGATGAACGGTTGAGGAAATGATCTGCCCGATTCCCGTAGTTGTGGGTGGAGCCTGGACCAAGTCCATGTGAAGGTCAGAACAAGGGCAGGAAAAAGCAGTGGTTGTAAAAGTTCCTAGCATAATCTCTCCCATTCTGGGGGTTCATATTTATCACTGGTAGCTTGAATCTTCCAAGGAGAGGATTTCTCAGGACTGTGGTGGTCTTAGAACTTGTCTTTAATATGTCAGGAGTCATGCTCCATACAGGCTTCTGACTCCTGGGAGTGGGATGAAGGCAGGACTTAATTAGGTTAAACAGGACCATATTTGCAATACAGATTGCTGTGTGAATCATAACCTTAGTTATGTGTTTGCACTTTTATTATAAACACATTTAATACTTGTCTATGGGAACTTGAAGACCCTGACAAAGGCCTCTTTAATAAGAGCATTCCTTTGACTTTGTATTGTCAAATTAGGTGTCTAAGGATTATTTTATTTTCCTATGCTAGGGATGGTGAAATCTTTTTTGCTTTTTGAGGCTTTATATTATCCAAGAGAGAGTTTTTCTGCAGAATGACCTTGTTAAAGTACCTTTACAAGGCAAATGGGTGAGAGGATTTTTTCCAGGATTTTTATGCACATATTCATGCAGTTGACTTGGTTCTTCTGTCTAGATAAAGTGCTGTTCATGACTACAGCTGTCGATTTGGTGATAACTGAGGTTCAGGAACCTGTCCGGTTCATTCTGGAAACGAAAGTTCGAGTTTGCTCGCCTAATGAGAGGTTGTTCTGGCCCTTCAGCAAACGTAGTTCCACTGAAAACTTCTTCCTAAAACTAAAACAGGTAATACAGTCTTATCTATGTTTAATTTGGAATCTCAGTGTGATTGGTTTTCAAACTTACCAGACCATAACATCCTTATGGACCATAACATCCGTTGCATTCTTCTGAGATTTAGGAGGTGCTGGAGGATAAATGTAAAGGCACTGAGGACAAGGGTGAATTGTCCATGCAGTTTAAAGACCCAGTCCTGAGACCATTACTCAAAAGTTGAAAACTATTGAAGCCAGCTGAAGTTGCGTGAAAGTTGCACTGAAGGAGTTGCGTGAAAAAATGTCACTGGTACAGACAGCAAGCGTGTAGTGTGTATTTGACATGTCTACCTATCAGTTTTTCTTTTACTTGAACAGGTTTGAGCATGAAACTAGTAAATCTGCCTTTTTGCAAAAAGATATGTACTGTACACAGTTTCAAACTGGATGTAACTGAATAGATCTTGAGCAGATTTGACAATGAGCCTAGAACTATTTCCCTCTCCCCCACCCCGATGATGCTATTTAGTTTCTGGGAATTATAGAAATGTCATTGTATTGCTTACATTATCATGTGTTTAGGGGAGACATTTCACCAACCAAATACCCCAGCTTCACTAACTGAAAACAGTGGAGAAGCAGTACCCCAAAGGCTCCAAACAGCTGCTTTGTTCTTGATTCCACATGCTGGAAAGAAAAGGATAAACTCAGTGCAAAAGACAGACAGGAATGATTTAGAGTGGTACCATACCCTCAGAGAAGTCTAGGTCCAGAAAATCAAGGTTAAATCACTAAAAGTTTGCGTATGTAAGCAAAAACTGGCATTTTCTCAGATCACTTGGGAAGGTGGAAGAGAATTTGTTTCCAGAAAATATAACGTGTGTTCAAAGACAACCACTGCCATGAATGTGCCTCCTGACTCCTGAAGCCTAACGGCACTGGCCCAGGCATAGTAAGGGCAGAGGCTTTCTGATTTTTTTTTTTTTTTTTTTTCATATAGTTGGTCAAGTAGCTCTGGGGAAACAGGCAGCGTTCTCTTGGTGTTGTCTTTTGCACTTGTTTTGTTTTAAAGTGGTAGTATAGTCTTTGATAACAAATGGCAGGGTCAGTGAGGAAGAACCTCACTTTGCAGCATTCATCTTACTGTACTTAAAGAAAATTTCCTATGCAGCCTGTTACATTACCATACATATCCCAGTGCACACTTGGGTAGGAACGGATGTTATGGGGAGACTTCTCTACAGTAGTCTGGGGAAAATATCTATGTAGGAGATTAGCCTTTACCTTAGTTGGCCTGCTCTTTCGAGATGGAGAATGGAGATGCTGAATGATTACTGTTGTTACTGTAAATATTTCACAATTTAAAATGTAGGCCACTTTTCTGCCTGGTAGTTTAACGAGGCTTATCTGTACTTGGCTAACTCTTTATCTTTTGTCTTACCAAACTTGCATGCAGCGTGACCTTTATCTCACTTTAACTTTGTCTTGTTCACAGGCATTAAAGGGTTATCCATTTGCCAGCATTTACGTATGGAAGATTTAGGACAATTCATAGCTAAATTGACAGATAGTGAGAGTCCTGCCTGATAAGCATGGAAGGAAAACTTGTTTTACAGAGCTGTGATTAGTCTATTAAATATACAACACAATAGAATTAGCTTATCTTAGTTTGCCAGTGCTGCTTGTTTTAGAAGTGATGGAAACAGACGGATTTTATTTTTTTCTAGATAACATTTGGTGATTGAGAAATCTTTAGTCTGGATTTATTTTAAAATACCAAAATGATGAGAATGAGTGTTGAAAGTTTTTTAGAGTGCAATTTTGTAAGAGGAGTGGGGCAGGGGTTGTTTGTTTGTATTTACCTGCCTTTTTCAGTTAAAGAACAGGAGTTTCAAAAATTAAGAAGGGAAGTCCTAAAGCCTAGCAAGTTAGCTCCCTGCGTTCTCAACAAGAACATTGGCACATAACTTGAAAGTAATAAATAAAGACAGTTTAGGATCATGGAGGGGCATGAAGTATGAGCAATTATGTCATGAAAACTGACAAAAAACATTCTGGTGAGAAGTTAACTGTAGTTTTAGGGGGGTTTAATGCGTAGTATTCTTCTCATTACTGGAAGAGTTGCCAAGTATTTTGTTATTTGCCAAACTTCCTCTTCCAGGCCCCTGCAAACCTCTCCTACCTGTCTTCAGTCCACACCTGCTGAAAAGGGTGAGGCTGTGTACAGAACTAGATGTGAATGAACGCACTTGTCCTAATGAGCCCAGCCCAGCTGTGGGAGCCACATAACACAGATGCCTTTGGGCTATATATGCTTGCTGTGTATTCTAGCTTTAAGGGCAGGAAGCAGAAACAATGGACTACAAACATTCACAGCCCTGGAAGTGCTATTAATGAGGTTGTGAAAGGGCTGTAGCAAAAATGTTCATTCTGTGCCCCTTGAGGAGTGCAGTAGAAATAACTCTGCTTCTCTATCTCTTCTGTCCAAGGAGCAGAGGTAGAGCCTTGGGCAGCAAAGTAGATGGTTTTTCTACAGTGCTGTTATTAAAGATGAAACTCCTTATTTTCTAGATAAAACAGAAGGACCGAAAGAATAGTTCTGACACATTATATGAGGTTGTGTGCCTTGAAAGTGAATCGGAAAGGGAGAGGAGAAAAACCACAGCCAGCCCCTCTATTCGTCTGCCACAGTCGGGGTCCCAGGGTTCAATGATTCCTTCTCCTCCAGAAGATGATGAAGAGGAAGGTAAGGAGGAGGTCATCTGTTGTTCCCTGCTGGTTTTGTTCATTTGGAAGGCAGTGGAAAACTTCCATTTGGAATGAATTAGTCTTTCAATGATAGGGCCCAGCCTCATTTTCATAGTTTCATAGTTTCTAGGGTCGGAAGGGACCTGAAAAGATCATCTAGATCATTTTGTTTTTAAAGCTCATAGAGGTTGATGAGCAGCATCCTAAACGTCTCTGTAACACACCCCATTTTCTTTGCTGCTGCTGTGAGTTTATTAAATGCTTCTCCTTACTCTATAGATCTGTATGTGGACCAGTATAAAGAAGACAAAAAGGCAGGGGACACTTAGGGTGCCATTTGTCTCTCTCTTGAGCAGCTGTAAACAGCTGCAACAGAGAAAAAAGGGCGTTTAGTCTGAGATGTATGCATACAGCATATTTGCGAAAAAATGCAAATGTAGGGTTCTGTAGGGAAACAGCTTGGCATTGTGGGGATGTTCTTATCTGAGGTGTAATGTATTTTCAGCAGGGTTTGCAGCCATTTTATTTTTTAACAGATCTATGAACTTGTTCTGAGTTGTTAAACAATATTGTCTAGTAGATAGTGCATTGAACTGTGATTCAGATGGTCTGGGCTCTTTTGTTGATTCTGCACGGCCATCTGGGTGCCTTTGGACAAGTTGCTTCACCCCTCTGCCTTGTTTTTTTTTCCCCCTCTGTAAAGTGAGAATTGCCCTTCCTTCCTTTTTATAAAGCAGTTTGAGATCAACTGATGTGAAGTGTTCTATAAATACAAGTTGCTATTAACTGTTAGGGAAGTAATCAGTAGACCTGAGTTGTGGCACGTACTACTTCAAAGCAGTGGAAGTGGGAGTTTTTGGTTTTCAGCCATTAGCCAGGAGAATTTGGATCCAATTGAAAAGAATGTGTTTTCTTCTGAATAATTAAAGGTAGGCAGTGTCAGAATAGCGATGTTGTATTGATGAGATACTGGAATGACAGCAGAATTCTTACCTGCAGTACTAACAATGAGTGTTTCAAAATAGCTATGAGCATATCAGCTATGATTTTTTTTTTCTTTTAACCAAAAGATTATTATTGTACTTTGTGCTTATCTACTCTTTTCATTTGAGCAATGGAATGTGCTGCATTGTAAAAGCTGTTTAATTTAAGCTTAGAGAGCCATCAAAAAAAAGTAATAGCTTTTAAAATAAAACTGCAAAGCAATTCAGGCTGCAACAAATGCAGTGACATAATGTCATCTCGTCATATTTCCTGAAGGAAACCAGATCCCTTAATCTTTCATTTGGAAGATTAAGAGTTGAGGATGTGTTATCATTGACAGCTTTTCAAGTCTTTGTCAGGTACTTTCAACTTACAGTTCTAGGACACTTTTTTCAGCATCACTAGGTTTTACTGAAAGCAGTGTAGCAATTTATTTTAAGATAGCATCTAAAATATATTTGCATTTGGTAGCAGTTAGGTTAACGTTTGCCTTGTATCCTGACTCGTTCTTGATTAGATAGCAAAGTGCCTCTACTTTTAGTCCCTTGTTTACCCATAAGCATTGCACTTGCAGATACTGTCTTGCTCTTTATCCAAACCAACCCCTGTACATTAGGAGCTAATTCCTTTGTAGCAAATCAAACATTGATCTGCTAGAAGGGTAATAACATCCACTGTTTTCACACTTTCTCTTCTCTTCTCACTCTGTAGATAATGATGAACCACTACTGAGTGGTTCGGGAGATGTTTCCAAAGAGTGTGCTGAAAAAATTCTTGAAACCTGGGGAGATCTGCTTTCCAAATGGTAAGTGGCAAAAATACACCTGGAGAAAATGGCATACTTGGATGTTTTTAGACTGAGAGATACTGGGTCAGTGCAGAGTCTTTGAGCATCCTCTTCCTAGGACAGTCACTGTACGTGGAAGTCCATGGAGAAGTTTGCTACAGACTTGGTGCCCTTTTGAATCCAAGAAGGTCCTTTATTTTCTGATTTGGTTGGATGTGGTCTGATTTCTTTAGTGCTGTTACATTTCTTCTCTGAAACTATTTCTGTTAATTTGCAATGTAGCTTCTTGATGGGTGTTCTCCCAGCCTGTTGTCCCTAGACACCGTCATGTTGATTTTCTCTACTTTTGCTGCTTTTTAAATCTAACCACTAAAAAGGAGTACAAAGCCTGCAGCTTTTCCTTCACTCTGGTTCTCAAGAGAGTGCTTTCCAGGCAGCTTCCCTCTTGACAGCTCCACCATAATCAAAATGAGCCACTTATCCCTTGGGTACCTCTTAGCCTTTGGATCTCAAGAATGTCAAAGAATCAGACTTGTATTTTGTGTGTGCATGCAAACACGAACGTACAGGTATGTGCACATGGAAAAAAGTCCAGCCCCCTGCAGAAAAAAAAATACACAGATCGTCCTAGCATAGTGTTTCTGAACAGTAGAGATGCTAATGGAACCCCAGACTTTCTTTTCCTGAGGAGCTGCTTGTCAGCTTTGAATCCTACAAACACCCTTTGTAGAAAGGGATGCTAAGATTAGTAAGAATCTCTAGCACTGTTGTTCAAAGGGCACAAGCGTGATACCTGATGGACCCTAAATGTGCTACACTTGAACCCTGCTTTTGCTGTTGATCTCTGGCTTAATTCTAGCCTTTGTTGATCTCTGGCTTAATTCTAGCCTTTGTTTTCTACCACCGCTGTCCATTAGCAGAAAGCGAAAGAATGCTACATCCGAGGTAGAGCAAAGCAAACCTTCATTGCATCAAGGGTGAGATTAAGTCCAACATTTACATCACGGGAAAATAACTGAGGCAGTCTTTCTTAGCAAAGATTTTCTTGATATTAAGCCACATCCTGATATACAGATCAGTTCTCAATAGATATTTGATACTGTTGTTTTAAATATTGTTTTTTATTTCCCATTTGTTTTACTAGGCAAATTTGATAGGATTGGTAGGCATGAGAAATTGTCCTGTTAATATAGTGCGAAGGCTACAGCAAAATCATGTTCTCTTTCCCCTGCTCCCCAACAAACCGCCTTAATTGTGAGCTCTGCAAATCTGCTCCCTGTGAGACTGTTTCTCTTAAACTTCAGTTCTTCTGTAACTCTTCCAAGGCTGAAAGATAATTAAACCACCTGACAGTCATACTGAAAATGTTTTGGCAGCTTAAGGAAGATATGGAATGCCTCTGTGCTAATAATAGCAGTAACAATTTTAGTTAAGAGGGAAAGCCCTTTAACACATTAAAATTATGTTCAGGTAATAATTCCTCTGATTTTAATTAAAGTGGATTTAAAATCCTAAAAAGCAGAGTCCAGGTGGCTAGATGCACTGCTCTTAAGTTCTTGTATAGTGATTTAAGGATTTGTTGATACTGATATTTTCTCTCTCTTTTTTTTACAATGTATGGCTCATTTCATTGCAAAACAGTTGCATGATTTTCCCATTCCAAAGTCTTACTGCTTGTAAAAATCCGTTAGACTGTCACCCATAAATAAAGTATAGTCTCAACTGTTTTTGGTCTTATCCATTAAAACTACTATTTATACTTGTTTTAGTCACAGGCTAAGGCAAGATGGTGTATAGATTATTTAGAGTGTTTAGATGTTAACTTCAAGACTGGGTTCTAGGAACATATTTTATTTCCTTGCTAGGTGAGAATTGATTTGAGCTACCTCTGCAGTCCCACTCTGTTGTATGCTTGTTTTAATAGGGAAAGCTGACCTTTTCAAGGAGCCTTCTGATAGAACTGGAAGTTCAAAGTGAACTGACCCTTGCACACAAGGGTAAAGAGCAGGTGATGGTACTCCAGGCCTGTGAAATAATGGCTTCTCTAAAAATTGAGCACAGTAGCTTCTAGGCTGCAGACAATACTGATGGACTCCTTCCCATGTGTGTGGAAAAGGAAGCCAGTATCTTTATACAATTAGATCTGAGTAATAAACATGATTAGCTTGGCTCCTGAATTGTCATTTTTCATTAAGTTGCATTATTAAATGTGGGTGTCCTGGTCAGGAAATCGTGCTTTACAGACAGCTTTACTATTAGACCAAGGCTGACGTAAACTAATCACTCCCCTCCCCTCTTAAGCACTTTGCACAGTGGTTTTCTTGTTTAGTACAAACGTTGAGGAAAGGCTGTCTTTGTCTTGAATACCATGCTGTATTCTTGGCTATTTAACATAAATTGCTGCTCCTCTTTCAGCACACCTTGGTGTTACGTTCTGCTCCCAGTCTAATCATGAAAACCAGCAATCTAAAGCAGTTTGGAATCTGTGAAAGTTCAGTCTAAACTATCCAGGCAGGCCAAGTGAGGGCAGCAGAGAGGAAATTATTCAAACATTTTGTGGGCTGAAATTACCCATTAGGCTCTTGAAAGCTCATGGGTAGCCACTCTAACTGTGAATGGTTTATCTGTCTGTTTTATTGGAAAAGGACTGGAAATCAACATTCATTTTCTTAAGAGGTGTCCCAGTTTGTGACCAAGTATGTTGGCACAGTTTGAGTTGATGCAGGTCTATAGATCTTGAAGATCCCAATGATAGTTTAGATTATAAAATATGTGATATCTGTTCAGTCTCCTATTTAAGTCATTTCTGCTTTGGTCTGTTGTGCTCGTGATTTTTTAATAGCAGCTGCAAGCCATGTTTATCTTTCAGTTGGAATCGCAAGGGATTATAGAAGAAAATTGAAAAGCACTTTCATTTAATTTTGTTCCCCTCATAACACCTGAATGTTGCAGCACTGTTTGAGTTAAGCTACAAACTACCTCTGAACTAGAAAAACTTCCATCTGCAAGTTGCAGACTATCCTGATGTTTCTGCTGGTGGTACACATCCCATGTAGATTGTTAGTGGTTACACACATGTATTCCTGCGTGTGTATTTGGGCTACGGTAATGGGATGCACCTCCCTCTTTGTCCAGGCACCTCAATCTGAGTGTGAGGCCAAAGACTTTGTCAACATTGGTGAGAAGTGGAGTCCCTGAGGCACTGCGAGGAGAAGTATGGCAGCTGCTAGCGGGATGTCACAACAATGACCACCTGGTAGAAAAATACCGGATTCTCATCACAAAGGTAAAGTGGTAGATTATATATACAGTATATATAATTTTAATTATACATGTTTCCCTTGCTTTATGCTGTACACGTGTTCCTGGAAAACAACGCATAACTTGAATTCAGATAAAGGGGAACCCATTTTACAGCCTAACAAATAGGGATATGTTCCAAGACCTCGACTATACTGACCCCAAACCCATTTCTACCACTTTTACAAGACCGTTTTATACTCACCAACAGCAGACAGTACACACAAGCACCGGGCACTATCATAATGGGGATGGCAACTACAGAAACACATGTTGCAGACAACGAGCAAGGAGCACAGATCCACAACAGAGACTATTTTGGTGTGTGTCACTCCCACAGTGCACCACACAAAGCAGCTGACTGCAGGCTTCCACCACATCTATTGCATAGGAGTGAATTTACCTTGCATATAACAAATTTTTGGCATAAAAAGGGTCATCGCATAAGAGCGAATTCGCACATACAAAACCTGCATAAAGCGAGGGAAACCTGTAACAGGATCAGAAGGTGGATACTTGAAAGAGAATGACATAGAGTTTTAAAGGTCAGTAAGTATAATTCATTGTTGTATAATCTTAACAAGTCAATATTATACAAAACTCCCCCAAAATCTGTAGTATTTATTGTACAGTGTTATATCTACCACAAAATGATTTTTCCTTTATTCCCATTGATATTTCACACACACACAACCTGTTTTAATTCACCAGTTTTAATTCACACAATTCTGATGTGTTTCTAACTGATATGTGCTTTCCAGTGCTGTCAGACCTAAATGCAAATTCTCTTACTTTTCATACAGGAAATCCAAACAGATAACTCCTGTTATTTCTGTTCTAAGATGAAAATCCAGCCCTAATCCTTGATATTTAGCTAGTTTCTTTGTTGGATAAACCTGATCAATATTGTCTTGTGTGCACTGATTAGTTTAATATTTTGTAGGTTTCATTATTTAATGTTGTAAAACTTGGTTTTTAAGAACAACAGGAGGATACAGAAAGTTCTGATGATCAAACAGCAGCAGTAGCGAAAAAGGAACGACCATGTATTGAGTCATCGTGCAACAGCGCCTTGCAAATTCCCTAGTCTACCAGTATCGCACAAAATGAGAATGAAATGTCTTGCTGGCAGAATTAGTACTCTGAGTTGTCACTACCTGGATGTGTAAATTATATTTTATTGTTCTCACCAAACGATCAAGCATGTAAGGATTAGGTTGAAAATGACTGTAGGCAGTTCACTACAAAAGCCCCCGTCAGAATTGAAAATCATTGGTCTAAAAATAAACAGCAAAATGAGTCAACCTTTTGTATAACTGCGGTCTGGTTACACATAGTTTGACATGGATTTGCAAGGAATAATTACAGGCGTTATTCTGAGGGGGTGTGGACATTTGAAATAGAGACCCAGATAGGATGGGGGAGCCTCCTGCTTAACTCGTATCAGCAGCGTTTAGATCACTTGCAAAATGTTCTGTCAAACTTTTTTCCTGCAGCGTGGAATAGTGCATCTGGAACTGAGGCTTTATCTGAGTTGTCTGTATCCATGGTTCCAATAACATTTTTTCCATATAGGGCAGTCTTAACATCATAGGGAATAAAGCATAAATGTACAATAAATTGCATGAGTTATGAGACTGCAGAATGATCTGCCAAGGAAAATCTCATGGTTGCCCCTATTGTATTGTTGTAACCCTCAAGTGAGGAGACAACCACATGGCCTGTTCACCCCTCCAGTATCTTGGTGCCAGAAAGAAAAGGAATGACGTCCCTGTGGTGCAGTGTGACATATGCTCCCCTATCAACCTGAGCAAGGAAAACTGTTAGTGGAAAATCCACCTAAGTCTGTGAAATTCTTCTGCTCTTTCACCTCTTGGTAGCAGCAGAGGAAATAACCTGGCTCTGACGCACTGGAAGTATCTCTAGCATCCAAGGCAGGGTGACTTGGCTGATTCAGCACTGCTGTCTAAAGAGAAAATAAGCTGGCCATTCAGCAAATACTAAGGAATTCACTTCTCGAGGAAAATTAGCTCCAAACAACTGTCTCTTGTCTCTGCCTCAGTCACGGGAAGTATTTGGCATATGTTCTTGTCAAGTTATCAGCTCAGGCAAACAAAAATGAAGCCTACTTTTTAATACAAATGTGCCATATTTGAGCATTGCTATAGCTGTCTTCATTGCCGCGGCCAGAATGTCAGATAAATGAACATGAGTTCGGGAGCATATATGTATAAAATTAGTGAATTCTGCTGAACGCCTTGTCACAAGGACATGAGAAAGGAAAGGAAGTACAGACAGGCTGCTACTTTGCCGGGTGAAAATAGGTTGTTTGGATGTTGCATCCTCCACAGCCTGCATGCAGAGCTAGAACAGCAGAGAAATAATAGAAGGGCTTCAGGGAAGCTCTAAAGAGGAGAATGGGTGAAGAAAGCAAGAGCTGTTGAGTAGGACGTGGGAGCAGAGATCCATACAGGATAGCACTGGGGGAGCCTTAAAGGAGAACAAAGACTGAAGTGGAAAGGAAGGAGAACCTGACTCAGAGGATTTGGAGAGGAATTCAGCTGCAGTATTGTCTGGGCTTGGGAAAGGCTGCTTTTCAGGGCAGTTCCAGAACACTTGAGCCACTTCCTTGGTTTTTTCATGCACAGCTTCAACAATAGTCTCTTGTTTTGTAAAAGGAAATGTAGGTAACAAGTAGATGACGTTTCCCAGGTGTGGCTACAAATTCCTAAGTCCTCATACCATGTGGTTGAGGACTTCAGCACCCGCCACCAAGTTCACCACCTTGCTTTTTGCAGCATTTTTCAATATTTTTGACCCTGGTGCAGGGCCGTTGCTCAGATTGACTTGTGGTGTTGATAGAAGTGTTGGATGCCTGGCAGTTTTACTGTCTGATAGAACTATGCGAGAAACCCGGTGCTGTGCTGGCTGGCATCGCACTCTGCTGTCTGTATAAAGCAGCATGTAACACTTCAGATATCTTTTGTTTCTATGTGATGGATGTGCATCTGCAAACCAGGTGTCAAATTCACTTGGTGCGAGTGAAAATGATGAACATAGAGCATATGCTTATGACTGGTGTTTGGCTTTCCACCAAAAAATCATGGTACTATCAAAGAATGACTTGAATGCTTTCCTTAGGATCATCAAGACTACTGCAGCTTTCTTCTTATGCTTCTCAGCAAGAGAGCTGGGAACAGCAAACTGTAATTCTAATCACTCTCAGACTGCCTTGGAAACCTGTAGTTTTCAGAACCTGTCTTTCGCTTCAGGGCAGAGAATAATGGCAGGTCTTGCTGAGATCTTTATTAACTGCTTTAGTTTGGTGACTATGTCAACTTTTCTCATATTAATGCTTTTTTTAAACAAATGACATTTGGTGTTGCTGATCACAAGAGTGTAGAGTACAATGCATGTAAATCGCAGGTGGCTCTCCTACCTCTCCTTCCACATGAATAAGTGCTCTGCTGACCCAGCAAAATGCATCTGCAACTCTATCATATGCTTGCTAAATGGAGGGTATAAGCAAGTAGTTCTGTAAGACGGCTGGACTGTATTTTGGCCTTGGCACTTGGATTTCAATTAACTACTTGGCAGTTTTGTATGTGGAATTTTGTCGTCATCATTCATTACTTTAAGTGAAAGGAGAAAGTTCAGCGATATTCAAATCTGTGATGGTGAGCCATGAATGCCTTCTGGTTCAGGCATATCTGCTAATCATCAGGGATGCCTTGTACTCCAGTTCTCATAGCTTTACTAACCTGGTAGTACTCTGCCATGTCTTGCTTATCACTCCTGTATTTGCTGCTTTTTCCAAGGCTGTTTCTAGGAGTGGTGGTGTTGAAAATTGCTTAATCTTTGCAGTGCAGTGTTGTGAAAGTTGTACATCCAGAAACGACTAATATTGTCATAGCTGAACTGCATGGAGGGCTAACGTGATACCTTTCCTCTCTGCCATAGGGCAGATGATGCAGATAGGCCCACGTGAGTATTCTCATGATTGTTGTGCCCCTCCTGTCTTAATGTCAACCTCTTTGTTTCAATAGCCACGGTTGATTTGTCAGTCTTTCTGTGACCCCAAACAGCAGCGAGGCCCCACATTAAAAAGACTCCATGTTGACAGCTGCTTCAGAAGTGTTGGGCTTTTTTTTCAGTACATTGTGTCTTGTGAATGGAGTATTGGCTAGAAGCTGCATCACAGGGTCTTTTTGATATTCCAGTTTACTTCCCCCTGGACTTCTGACCCTTTCTGTTTCCGGAAGGGGTGTCTTGCTTCCTTCTCTTCTGAGAGCAGCTCCTGGCCTGCTGCAGCTGCGTGCCTGATTCTACACGGCTGCTAAGCGGTGAAAGCAAAATGTCATCCACTGTGTTTCACAAAGGCAGACCTGTGTGCTTTTTTTAAATCTATTTTTGTGGTATTGGTAATGGTTTGGAAACCAGCTCAGGAGGTGTATACTTGAAGTCCTTGTAGCCATTATTGTAATGCTAATTTTATTACTCACCCTTTGTTTCTGTTGCTTGTGGTAAATGCTGGGCAGCTTTGTACTCTGTGCTTTCATAATGTGAGTAATGTTTAGATTTCACCATTACGCCCACTTTCACAAATTACTTCTGATTGGGAATTTGTGCACCATCTGCATGACCTTCCAAAGCCTGTAGCTGTCCCAGATTGCCATGCTCAGGAGATGCGTGAAACAGGCAGCCAAAAGAATTGAGGTCATGTCACCACTGGGGACAGAAATGGAACTTGAGAGAAACGGCGATCTGGACAGTCCCTAGGAGGAGCATCTGTTTCTGGTGGAGCTTGAATAGAGGGATCTTACTTGAGCGCAGCAGCCCTGAGTTTGGGAGATTAGGAGAAATCTCTTGCTTTGACAGTTTTTAGGGTTTTAACTATTAAGGTGTGCTGGGGTCACAGTTTCCAGCTTTCTTCTAATCACAAGGGCTAGAAATGGCTTTCCTTAATGGATGCTGACATTCCCAGGTATTCCAGAAACCTTAGGCAGCTGTGGTTTTAAGAAAAGAATCGCCTGAGGCAAGACTCATGATGAAATTACTGCAGTTGACAACCCTGAAAATGTTCTTTTGTTGGTATTGGGTGTAATTAGCATGCTTTGTACTTAGTCCAGAGCCCAAGGAAAGCATTGAAAGGAGCGGTATGAACTTCAGTGGGTATTGGATCAGTCCTTTCTGTCTGCAGACGTGTTGGAAAAGAGTTCTGCAGACACCTTTATAAGCTTTGTCTTTATTGCTTTAGGGGAAAAACTTTAGCATCTTTAGCATCGGCTTAAACTCTGTTTCCCTCTGCTGTGCTAGATTTCAAATGAAGACAACCTTCCATTCACTTTGTTCCTGTTATTGATTGTCTAATGAGTTCAGTTAGGGTGAGAAGCTGAACATGACCTTTTAAGTTTGCTAACCACTGTTTGTCAAAATTGGGAAGCGTCCTCTTCCTCCTCCGTGTCTGCTACTACCTGGTAGTTGTAAATAAATGACATGGTAAGTTGTTATACAGTGAATAACTGAATGCATTGATACTTTATGTTCACAGTTGATTTCCATCAAGTATGCTATATTTCAATTATGGTGAAACAGCTTCAGCAATAAGATTAGAATCTGATTTAACTGGGGAACAAACATGATTCCATGAAAATTGGTAGCAAATGGCAGGAAGTTAGTAATCATTCACATCTTGCTAAGCAATGGATGAACTAATGTAAAACTTTTACCTTTTTTTTAATAAGGCACTGGTTATTGGTCCCAAGCAGTCTAATACATGCTGCATAGATAATTTGCAGCAATGAGTTTCAGCCAGACTGCCAGTGGTATAGATCTTCTTTGCAGAATTGCAACCAATAGTGAACAATTAGAAGACAACTTATTTCTGACTTGAGAATCTGGTTATCTGAAATCATATGCATGACGTAAGTAAATAGTAGGCTAGCTGTTTTCCTCACTTAAATACTCCATGTTTAAAGGAAATGGTACAAATACTAGTCTGAAAGAAACAAAATATGAGGGGGGTTTAAGACTTCATAGGTAATTCCTGTAACTGGAATGTGAATTTCAGAGGTGCTGAGCACCCAACAATTCTGGTCGGAGCCTAGAAGAGCTATGTTACCTTATGGGTTATCTCTTTGGGTTTGACTTAATGACTTCTCTGTGTGCACGTGGGGACACATTTTTGTATGCTGTATGTTCTCACGATTTATAAGATGGGGAACAGAAGAATCTCTGAACAGTGCAGTCCTGCAGCAAAACCATGTAGCATGGACAGCCATCTCCATTGCTGTTCATCCAGCAGTCCTCTGAATCGCCCAACTTTTTGCTGCCTTCTGCTTCTGAGGTGCACAGAAGAAGAAGAAGAAGAAAAAAAGCAGAGTATAGGTGTTGCAAGTGGCAGGGGAGCAACTGTTTTAATAAGAGATCTTGCAAATCTTCCATCCACATCACAACCAAACTCTTGGAAGGTCAACTATATAACCATTGGATCTCAAACAGTGGCCTGCAGAGCTCCTTTCAGCTGTTGATAAACCAAAGAATTGTTTGTTTCCCCCTTAGAAAGGAAAGGAATGGGTTTTTGCTGGGTTTTATGGAGGGTAGTGAAGTATAGAGGGTAAGTGCAAATTGTGCCAGCCAGATAAATGCACCATCAAAAAAAATTGGTGCAACAGGGACATCTTGTGGCACCTAAGGAAAAGCCAGCTGCTGGAAGGGGTTAGCTCTTGAATTTTCTGGAAGAGTTATCTCATGCGAGCATCTCCTTGAAGCAGTTCTCCAGTGTAAACAGTTATCAGCATCAATTGCGCTAGAACTTTTTTAAAGGCAGGACTCTTACTAGCTACTCTCTCTCTGTGTGTTTAGCTCCATGAGAACATAGTCCATAAAGGGCTTTGCCAGATGCACGTTTTCAATAGCTTGTAAAAACTTTTATAGTAAAGCACTAGATGAAAATGTAACTTGGTCGCATCTCTTTACAGTGCTTGTGATGTTGAACGATGAACTTGCATGGTGGTGAAACCTGGCACGGGCTTCATTTACTTAGCTGTTCCATACTTACCACAATCAGATTTACCAGCGTGCATCTAAATTGAGTTTTATGTGATTAATTTTAAGCTTTGCTGAGAGCCACAGATGCCTGGTTTCAGCTGAAATTGTGGATTCTCAGCACTTGTGACCATTCGGTCCACAAATATCAGGTTAGATACGTTATCATGTGAACCTGTAGTAACTGTGGGACTTGGTTAGAACATTAACCTTTCACTTGTGGGAAATCAAGTTTAAATCCTGCTGAGTCTTGTGCTAATTGTGGGTTGTGCACACCACAAAACCATGCCAGAGTTTGGCATGACTGATCTGAGAGACCATATTCAAATGTAATGCCATTTTCCCACCTCATGTGAAGTGCTTAGCTAACAAACAGACAAGGGTCTTTGGGTATCTTTTCTTAGACCAATTAAATAGTTGGGAAATATTGTTCTTTACAAGCATTTGGGTACAAACACCCTTCTTCGGGCATAGGGAGAGTCTGCTAGTGTTTGGGCACGTCTACATGTGCATGAATGTGCTGAAGCTATGGCACATGAAGTTCGGTGCCTGTAATAAAAGGTGCTAACTCAATGCACAGTAGCACTGGCACTTGCCTTTTTAGTGATGCTAATGCGCAGTAGACTAATCCTACTCTGCATGAGCACGGCTTTTGCTATGATGCACCAGCGCACAGCAGAATTCATCTACTGCACATTTAGCATCTTGTGTAGACGTGCCCTTTGGGTACCCTGCTGGCTGCAATCAAGGCTTAAGCTGACAAACACAAATTCTTCTGTTTCTGGTTTTTCGGGTGATGGGCAGCAGTGTTGGGCAAAGCTGTGTCAATCCTGCTCACGATAGCCATAAACTCCGATTCAGACTTCTCAAGAGGTTTGAAACTGGTTCAGAGGATCGAAAGCAGTCAGAAACCTTTGTGGTTTTCACAATCAGGACTGGTGGTAGAAGTGATATCTTGTATTAGACCAACTAGATTTTTGCGCGCACACAAAAAAAAAAAAAAAAAATCTCGTGGTTGTAGACCTCTTGATAATTAAAAAACAAAACGAGCGACAGCTGTAGTAACAGACAGGTGAATCTGATATCTTTTATTAGACCAACTTACAGTCGGAAATTTTTTTAGCAAGCTTTCAGGTGTGAATGCCCATGCGAAAAGCATCGTGAAGCAATCTGCTGCTTTTTCTTTCTCTTCACTTGGTCTTTTCGGAGGGCGGGTTGCAAAGCCGGGTCGGGAGGAGAGGGAAGTTTTGCAGAGGCTCGTGGCGGGGATGCGGCGGGGGGGAGCTGCCCCGGGGGCCGGCGCGGCTCGGCTGCCGCAGCGCTGCGGAGCTGCCCCGGGCAGGGCTCCCCC